TTTTTAATACTGGTCGCCAGATTTTGTTCATTTTCATGGGATTCATACTTGCAGTTGAAATTGTCCGCATGCTTGTGGATTTCAATGGTTTCTCTGTGTCATCTGACATGGTGGTTGTGAGAGTGGTCCAGCATTTTCGTGTCCAGGTTGGTTCATCGGGTGCTCTGCTATGGCTGACTTCTCTGGTTGAATTAGTCTTCAGTGCCTTTCATGTTCCTTGGTTCATGTTTGGGCAATGCTGCTGTGTTTGAGGATCCCTATGTAGACTTGTCCACAGCTGCATGGTACGAAATCAAGACTTGGCACTTTATAAGTTTTCAATCCGTTTTATTGTTCTGTGTTTTATTTGCTTATATGTTTTAACAGTTTCATAATTTGTTTTATTTCTTTATTATTTCTTTATTTATGACATTTATATCTCACCCTCTCTCACCCCAAAGTGGCTTACAAGTGATATGTACATACAATATATTATATTATAAGCATAGCACAATATTAGTGTTATATATTACTCTATTGTACTATACCACTATGCTGTAATATTACAGGTAATATAAAATATATAATTATAATATATTATTATATATAATTATTATATTGTAGAATTATTATTAGTATTATACTGTATTACCATATTATGATCAATATTATACGTACATACAATATATTATAATTATTAGCATAGCACAATATTAGTATTATATATTACTATGTTGTACTATACTATGTTGTACTATACTACAATATTATTAGCAATATTACATGTAACATTTAATATAAAATTATGATATTGTATTATTATTAGTATTCTTAGCGTATTGTCAAAGGCTTTCATGGCCAGAATCACTGAGATGTTGTGTGTTTTCTGGGCCATGTTCCAGAAGCATTCTCTCCTGACGTTTCACTTGCTTCTATGGCAGGTAACCTCAAAGGTTGTGAGTTCTCTTCACAACCTCTGAGGATGCCTGCCATAGAAGCAGGTGAAATGTCAGGAGAGAATGCTTCTGGAAAATGGACATACATCCTGGAAAACACACAACAACCCAGTGTTATTAGTATTATACTAGCCATCCCCTGCCATGCGTTGCCATGGCCCAGTCTGTGTGTATGTGTTTTGTGTGTATATATATATTTGTGTGTATGTGTATATATGTGGTTTTCCGCATGCATTGTAATGTATTTTTTTTTGTTTTTGGCTTTTAAAGTCCCTTCCGTTGTGTTTTTCAGTATTTTTATGACTGATGGTCACTTGTTGACCTGATAGGTGTATTGTGTCCAAATTTGGTGTCAGTTTGTCCAGTGGTTTTTGAGTTATGTTAATCCCACAAACGAACATTACATATTTATTTATATAGATTGTATTATATTATACAATATATATAATGGATAGTTTTGGATGGGGCATTGAATTTTGCCAGAGTTTGTACTCCACCTTGAGTCCTCTGCAGGGTGAGAAAGGTGGGGTATAAATAAAGTAAGTAAATAAATAAACAGATCACAGGGTTTTCCTGGGGCTGAGAGAGTATGACTTGGTCCAGATAACCCAGTGGGTTTCTGTGCATGAGTGGGAACTCTAACCCAGGTCTCTGGAGTGATAGTCCAACACTCAACTCCACAGAGACCTGGGTTGTTGTAGGTTTTTTCGGGCTATATGGCCATGTTCTAGAGGCATTTTCTCCTGACCTTTCGCCTGCATCTATGGCAAGCATCCTCAGAGGTAGTGAGGTCTGTTGGAACTAGGAAAAAGGGTTTATATATCTGTGGAATGACCAGGGTGGGACAAAGGACTCTTGTCTGCTGGAGCCAGGTGTGAATGTTTCAACTGATCACCTTGATTAGCATTTGATTGCCTGGCAGTGCCTGGAGCAATCCTTTGTTGAGAGGTCCACAGAGTTATTAGTTTTTTATTGGAGACAAGACCATGTTTTCTCCATTTTGAACACAGGCCCACCTCTGACCAAAAGCTCTTTTTCACAAAGTTTGTTTTATTCCTGCTCAGTACCTGCCTCCTTCCTCATCTCGAAACTAGTAGCAAGTGGCAGGTAAAGGTAAAGGTTTTCCCTTGACATTCAGTTTAGTTGTGTCTGACTCTGGGGGTTGGTACTCATCTCCATTTCTAAGCCAAAGAGCCGGCATTCTCCGTAGACGCCTCCAAGGTCATGTGGCCGGTATGACTGCATGGAACGCCATTTACTTTACCGCCAAAGCGGTACCTATTGATCTACTCACTTTTGCATGTTTTCGAACTGCTAGGTTGGTAGGAGTTGGAGCTAACAGTGGGAGCTCACCTGCTGCCCAGCTTCGATCCAATGACCTTTTGGTCAGCAAGTTCAGCAGCTCAGCAGTTTAACCTGCTGCTCCACCAGGGGCTCCAGCCAGTGGATCAATACTAAAATGGATTAATAAAATGGTGCAATACTGGCGAAACATCTGCCGTCCCCAAATACCCAAGACGGCCACCATGTGAAGAAACATTGTTGGTTTGATGTGAGGAAGTCTTTCTTTTCCAGGCATAATGCTAGATTTTTCTCTCCTTTCCAATAAAAGAAAAGTTGTGGATGGGCAAAGGCCGGGATGGAAGGACGCAATGGCAGCTCGGCTTGGAATTTATTTCGTGCGGGACAGGAAACGGCATCCTTTTCTTCCGACAGGATGTCCCCTGCTCTGCTCGGAATGGGGCTGTCAAATCGGATCCGTTTCGGAGTGGGCTCCAAAGCCACCTTCTCAGATCTGGCTCCCCATTTTCATTTTCCTCCTATTGTTCTGCCTGCCTTTTCCTCGGCCGAACTGGGGGCCCTAATCCGGGCAGATTTCACGCCCCAAAGCGTTCCCACCCAACCCTCCTTTTCAGAAGGGCGGACTTTTGCTCCCGCTTTCTCTCGGCCTGCGTGCCGCCAACCAACCTTTCTCTCGGGATGACAGAAAGCCCACCAAAAGCATGTCATTTGCCTTGGCAGGTTTTTATTGGGGTGGGAACCGGACATGTCTGAGGATGTTTGGGCGCTCGCTCGGAAGCCCCTCGCCCGGGGAGTCAGACAGCTCTGGGCTTTGGTCGCGGCAGATGATCAAAGACAAGGCGCTCAGAGCATTCATGCGGAAGGGACCTGGGCACCTCAGAGGCCCGTAAGCCTCTTAAATGGTGTCTCTGACATTGGCGGGTCAAACGGCAAACCCGACCCTTCCATGGGGTCGGCGGAGATACCACTTGATGGATATCGAGCTCACAAAGAATCCAAATATGACTGGCATCTTATTTTTGAGACGTATGTTACTGTAATCCTGGCATTTCATTATTTTTTATACATTACGTAAGGGGGTATCAGATAACTCTCTGTGCAATGATCGTGGCATTTCGAGGTATTGGAAATGCCACGAAATACTTCTCTGTGCAATGCTTTGACCCAGTGGACTCAATCTCAAGCAGGGTTATGGAGCTGGGTTGCTGTGAGTTTTCCAGGCTGTCTGGCCATATTCCAGAAACATTCTGTCCTGACATTTTGCCCACAACTAGGGCAGGCATCCTCAGAGGTTGTGAGGTCTGTTGGAAACTAGGCAAGTGGAGTTTATATACCTGTGGAATAATGTCAAAGGTGGGAGAAAGAACTCTTGCCTGCTTGAGGCAAGTGGGAATGTTGCAATTGGCCACCTTGATGAACATTGAATGGCCTTGCAGATTCAAAGCCTGACTTTCCTGTCTGGGGAAGTGTTAGCCAGCCCTGATTGAGAAGCATTCTCTCCTGATGTTTCATCCACATCTTCCTGCTTGGGGGAATCCTTTGTTGGAAGGTGTTAGCTGGTCCTGATTGAGAAGCATTCTCTCCTGATGTTTCATCCACATCCATGTCAGGGATCTTCAGAGGTTTTGAGGTCTGTTGGAAACTAGGCAAGTGAGATTGATATATCTGTGGAATAATGTCCAAGGTGGAAGAAAGAACTCCTTAACAACTTGAGGCAAGTGTGAATGTTGCCATTGGCCACCTTGATTAGCATTGAATGGCCTTGCAGCTTCAAAGCCTGGCTGCTTCCTGTCTGGGGAAGTGTTAGCCAGCCCTGATTGTTTCCTTTGTAGAATTCCCCTGTTCCTTTTTATTTACTGCACTTATTTTAGAGTTTCCAACAGACCTCCCAACCTCTGAGGATGCCTGCCATAGATGTGGGTGAAACATCAGGAGGGAATGCTTCTCAGTCAGAGCCAGCTAACACCTCCCCCAGGCAGAAAACAGCTAGGCTTTGAAGCTGCAAAGCTATACAATGCTAACCAAGGTGGCCAATGGCAATGTTTACACTTGCCTCAAGCAGACAAGAGTTTTTCTCTCACCCTGGACTTTATTCCACAGATATATAAGCCCCACTTGCCTAGTTTCCAACAGACTTCACAACCTCTGAGGGTGCCTGCCATAGATGTGGGCGAAACATCAGGAGAGAATGCTTCTCAATCAGGGCCCGCGAATACCTCCCAACAAAGGACTTCCCCAGGCAGGAAGCAGCCAGGCTTTGAAGCTGCAAGGCTATTCATTGCTAATCAAGGTGGCCAGTGGCAAAATTCACACTTGCCTCAAGCCGACAAGAGTTCTTTCTCCCACCCTGGACATTATTCCACAGGTATATAAACCCCACTTGCCTAGTTTGCAACAGACCTCACAACCTCTGAGGGTATCTGCCATAGATGTGGGCGAAACGTCAGGAGAGAATGCTTCTGGAACATGGCCAGACTGCCCGGAAAACTCACAGCAACCCAATGATTCTGGCCATGAAAGTGTTCAATAACACAATGTTATGAAGTTCGACATGAGTGGGAATCTGGCCTTCTCAGATACTGAGCTCTGTTTGCTCCAGTGCCCCTAGGGTTTGAAACAAGCTGAAAAGTTTGGAAGCGAAAAATGTTGTTTGATTCTGCATTTCTTCAGTTGGTATTGTTTACTCAGCTCGGCCTTCCAAAGATGTGTTTTACCCTAATCTCGCTTTCTCTCTCTTTCTCTCTCTCTTTCTGTTTCCTTCAGCGGCCACCCCACCGAACCCAGTCGATAAGCCCTGCTTAAAATTGAAGGTTTACGTCCGGCCGACAAGTAAGTAAAACATACACAGAGGGGCACGAACTCTCTCTATGAACCAGAATGGAAATGATCCAGAAATCCCATCACGACCCCATTGGTTTCATCACTGTTGGCCAAACAGGATTGAAAAAACCGAAGTCCCAATCAGAATAGATTTGTTGAAACAACAGGATTACAGCAATGTTGATTTCTCAAGTCAAAACCGTATCAGAATTGTAGTTGTTTTTGTGGCAAGACGTTATTCAGAGGGAGTTTGCCTTGGCTTTCCTCTGAGGCTGAGAGTGCGTGACCGAGCCAGGATTTATTTAGCTATTTATTTACCGTATTTCTATCCCGTCCTATCTCACCCCCAAGGGTGTACTTAGGGCGGCTTATGACAGTTCGATGCCACATCAAAACATGAACATAACAGTCATAAAAACATGAAACATTCAATCATTAAACACAAAACAATCACATATAAAATACAATTAAAACATAATTTAAAACAGCAATAAAAAGCAACCACATTGTCAATGTGTTGTCGAAGGCTTTCGTGGATGGAATCACTGGGTTGCTGTGAGCTTTCTGGACTGTCTGGCCATGTTCCAGAAGCATTCTCTTCTGACGTTTTGCCTGTATCTATGGCAGGCATCCTTGCAGGTTGTGAGATCTGTTGGAAACTAGGCAAGTGGGGTTTATATACCTGTGGAATAAGGTTCAGGGAGGGAGAAAGAACTCTTGTCTGTTTGAGGCAAGTGTGAATGTTACTTTTGGCCACCTTGATTAGCATCCAATAGCCTTGCAGCTTCAAAGCCTGGCTGCTTCCTGCCTGGGGGAATCTTTCTTGGTGGGTGTTAGCTGGGCCTGATTGTTCCTGTCTGGAATTCCCCTGTTATTTGAGTGCTCCTTTTTAAACAAGGACAGTAAATAAAGAGGAATACTCAATACTAATCAAGGTGTTCAATTGCAACATTCACACCTACCTGAAACGGACAAGAGTTCTTTCTCCCACCCTGGACATTCCACAGATATATAAACTCCACTTGCCTAGTTTCCAACAGACCTCACAACCTTTAAGGATGCCTGCCATAGATGTGGGCGAAACTTCAGGAAAAAAATGCTTCTCAGTTAGGGCCAGCTAACACCTCCCAACAAAGGATTCCCCCAGGAAGCAGCCAGGCTTTGAAGCTGCAAGGCTATTCAATGCTAATCAAGGTCATCCAGAGTGTCATAGCTTCCAAGCACTAGTTCAGGACCTAGAAGATTTCCCAAATAGGTTCCCATGGCTGAGTGAGGATTTGAACCCTGGCCTCCAGAACAGAAATCATGACATCACCATGTTTCAGCACCTTTAAAAATGTCCTGATTTTTCTGTTTCTCCCACTCTTCCCATTTTGCCATTCATAGAATCATAGAGTTGGAAGAGACCTCATGGGCTATCCAGTCCAACCCCCTGCCAAGAAGCAAGAAAATTGCATTCAAAGCACCCCCGACAGATGGCCATCCAGCCTCTGTTTAAAAACCTCCAAAGAAGGAGCCTCCACCACACTCCAGAGAGTTCCACTGCTGAACAGCTCTCACAGTCAGGAAGTTCTTCCTAATGTTCAGATGGAATCTCCTTTCTTGTAGTTTGAAGCCATTGTTCGCGTCCTAGTCTCCAGGGCAGCAGAAAACAAGCTTGCCCCCTCCTCCCTATGACTTCCTCTCACATATTTATACATGGCTATCATGTCTCCTCTCAGCCTTCTCTTCTTCAGGCTAAACATGCCCAGCTCTTTAAGCCACTCCTCATAGGGCTTGTTCTCCAGACCTTTTATCATTTTAGTCGCCCTCCTCTGGACATATTCCAGCTTGTCTATCTCTCTTCAATTGTGGTGCCCAGAATTGGACACAATATTCCAGGTGTGGTCTAACCAAGGCAGAATAGAGGGGTAGCATGACTTCCCTGGATCTAGACACTATTCTCCTATTGATGCAGGCCAAAATCCCATTGGCTTTTTTTGCCGCCACATCACATTGTTGGCTCATGTTTAACTTGTTGTCCATGCAGATTCCAAGATGTTTTTCATGCATACTGCTCTCGTGCCACGCGTCCCCTATTCTTTATCTTTGCATTTCATTTTTTCCTGCCTAAGTGGAATAATTCAGATTTTCCCTGCCAAATTGGGACAGTTGGACCCCATGTCTCACTTCCTTTTTTCCTATTTTTTAACTGTTATAAATCTATTTGAAGAATGGCCTGCCTCAGGGGAGCATGTTTGTTCCATCAATATTTAACATTTACACAAATGGTCAGCCACAGCCGGAAGGGACAGAGAATTTCATCTATCCTGATGATAGTGCCATCACCCCTTAAGCAGGGAGCTTTGAAATGTCTGAACAGAAGCTCTCCAAAGCTTTAGGTGCTCTTACTGCCCATTACAGAGAAAAGCAGCTGATTCCTAATCCATCTAAAGCACAGACATATGCTTTCCACCTTAAGAACAGACAAGCACCTTGAACTCTGAGGATTACCTGGGAAGGAATCCCACTGGAACACTGCAGTACACCCAAAAACCTGGGAGTCACCCTGGACTGTGCTCTGACTTACAAGGAACACTGCTTGAATATCAAGCAAATGTGGGTGCTAGAAAGAATATTATACAAAAGCTCACTGGCACAACCTGAGGATCACAACCAGACACAGTGAAGACATCTGCCCTTGTACTTTGCTACTTTGCTGCTGAATACACATTCCCAGTGTGGAATACGTCTCACCACATCAAAACAGTGAATGTGGCTCTTAATGAGACATGCCGCATTATCACAGGATGTCTACGCCATACACTGCTGGAGAAATTATACTAATTAGCCAGTATTGCACCACCTGACATCCACCAGGAAGTAGCAGCCTGTAATGAGAGGACCAAGGCAGTGACATCTCCGGCCCATCCTCTGTTCGGATATCAGCCAGCAAGCCAAAGCCTAAATCACGAAACAGCTTCCTAATATCTACCAACTACTTCATCACACTAGATAATGAATCCACTTTAAATCCGGTGATTGCCTCCTGTAGAATTTTTGGGTTTCTAGTTTAGTGAGGCTGTTAAAGCCTCCTCCTTAAACTACAAACCCCAGAATTCTGCAGGGGGCAGCAACTGGATTTAAAGTGGATCCATTCTCTAGTGTGATGAGGTATCTACAGTTACTTGCAGGAACCCCTCAGCAAGCGAGAGTCCAAAAGTGGCAGGATAAAACCCGGAACCTCAACCAGTGGCTGAGACAACATGAGAAACTCCCTCCTGGGCAAACAGAAAACTGGACTATTGGGAAGACGCGGAACAGACTGCCCTCTGGCACTACAAGATACAGAGCCAATCTTCAGAAATGGGGCTACGTTCCACCTCGTAATTTAAGATATACTGGGGAGGCCCTGCTTTCGGTCCCACCAGCGTCTCAAACGTGTCTGGTGGGGATGAGGGACAGGGCCTTCTCGGTGGTGACCCCCCCCCCCCGCTTGTGGAATTCACTCCTCAGCGTCCTCCCTCCTTACTTTTAGAAAAAAACTAAAGGGCAGGGTAGAAATGGTGTAAATAAATAAATATACAAAGTGGAGTCCACAACATGGGAGTGCGGAGAAGAGCAAACCACAGACCACTGACTACAATGCAGCCTGAGCCCTGCCACATGCACAATGGGGGACGTTCTCAGAGTGACACCAGAGGCACCCCAAGTGGCCAGCTTCTAGTCAAAGGATATTTAGTATAATGCCAAGTTTTTGACTTTGTTTGTGGTTTTTCTGTACATTATAACTGCATTCTCAATTCACTTCTGACACGATAAATAAATAAATTTGAAGGGAAAGGGGAAGAACAGTCTCTCCTTCCCACTTTTACCCCTAAGTTAGAATGGATTGCTTTGATACCAGCACTTTGAAACTTCCCGACCAAGTGTGACCTTTTTCTTAGAAATGCCAGGCTGTGGACCTCGGCGGAAGGCAGCCGGGTGCCACTTCAGACCGCTGGTGGTTCAACTTTGGGGTTCAAAGGAAATCCACAGGAAAGAAAGGGCAGAAGTGGAGGCTGGCGCCTGGCAGCACCGACCCATGGGGTTGTCGCCGGCTGTTTTGTTTTGATCGGAGGCAAGGGAAAGCAAACGATTTCATTTTCCTGCCACGGAACGGGGGACAAAACAAGCGCTCTCTGCGGAGGGGCCGGGCCTCCTTCGAATCAAGAGCGCAGCTGTCGGCAAAAAGGAAAACACAAATTAATAATTTTCCCCCTCCTGTTAATGGCTAATTAGTATTTGGCTACAGTTCTTCCCAGGGAGTGTCGAAGTCGCCAGAAATGTCAGCATCAAAACAAAAACAAAAAAGGAGATGTAATTCTTTCTTTTGGTTCTTTCTTTTTTCATGCCCGCCTCTACGCTTTTTGGAAGCGGGCGATTGTAAACATTTCCAACATTTTGCAGATGAAAACAGTGAGCGTGGCCGAGCCTTCTTAATGAGGAGTGAGACAAAAGCGTGGAGAGCAGTTTGCTTTCGCCTGAGCCAACTGGGAATCTCTGGGTCCTCCAGTGCTGAAGTTGACTATAGAGTTTCGCTGGGGGACCAAATAACAATACTAAGAAAGGGCGCAGAGTAGGAAGGAAAAGACACAAAAGGGTTTTTTGCCCCTCTTCTTTGTCTTGGCCTCCTCCTCCTCCTGCCAAAACCGTCCTTAATCCAGTAATAAACTTAAGAGGAGATGGGAGGGACAGCACTAAGGCAGCTTTCTGTGTAATTTAGTGGATTCCCCAGAAGGCCACTTTGCCTCATAGGGCTCTTTGGAAAACCGGGAGTCTTGGATCTTGAGGAAGCCACAGCTTTTTGGCTTTTGGAACTTTGGCCTGACCCCTGAAAATGGTTAAAAGGGCAACCCTGATGAGCGTGCCAGGTCCCCGGCAGCGTCTCCGGCGCTTAAAGCCTTTGGCGGCTGCGAGGACTGGCTCAGTGCCACCGAGCAAAGTGCCTCCCGTGTGTTTTGAAACCGAGACCCCTTCGTTTGGGAGAGGAGCTTAGGCCCAAAGCCAGCAAAGACAGGCGTCCCCTTCTCGCAGCCTTCTTTTCTCCAAGCTCAACATTCCAGTTCTCTGAAACGCTCCTCAGGAGGATTCATGGCTTCCAGACCTTGGACCAATTTGGTAGCCTTTCTCTGGACTCCTTCCAGCTGTTTCTTTATTTATCGTGTCAGAAGCAAATTGAGAATACAGTTATAATGTGTAAAAAACACACAAAGTAAGTTAAAATACTTGGCATTATAAATGTCGTTTGACCAGAGTGCCCCTGGTGTTGCTGTGAGAAGGTCCTCCATTGTGCATGTGGCAGGGTTCAGGCTGCATTGTAGTAGATGGTCTGTGGTCTGCTCTTCTCCACACTCGCATGTCGTGGGCTCCACTTTGTAACCCCATTTCTTAAGGTTGGCTCTGCGTCTCATGGTGCCAGTGTGCAGTCTGTTCAGCGCCTTCCAAGTCACCCAGTCTTCTGTGTGCCCAGGAGGGAGTCTCTCATCCGATCTCAGCAACTGATTGAGGTTCCGTGTTTCAGCCTGCCATTTTTGGACTCTCGCTTGCTGAGATGTTCCATGCAAGCATCTCTGTAGATCTTTGGAAGCTCTTTCTTGATTTAAGACTTTGCATGCAGGCTGATATCCAAACAGAGCATGGTCTGGAGATGTCAATGCCTTGGTCCTTTCATTACTGGCTGCTACTTCCCAATGGATGTCAGATGGTGCAATAGTGGCAAAACAGTATAATTTCTCCAGCGGTGGTGGATGTAGACATCCTGTGATAATGCAGCATGTCTCATTTAGAGCCACAGCCACTGTTGTAATATGGTGAGCCGAGGCAGCCCTAGGTAATTTTCAACGGTAAGCAAACAGTATTTTGCCCCCCCCCCCCAACCAATCACTGATATATATTTTCTGTTCATCGTGGAAGTTCTGTGTGCCATATTTGGTTCAATTCCATCATTGGTGGAGTTCAGAATGCTCTTTGATTGTAGGTGAACTATACATCCCAGTAACTACAACTCGCATATGTCAAGGTCTATTTTCCCCCAAGAGCCTCAAGAGCACCCCTGGGCAAAATCAACTATACTGCGAATGCTTACTTTGCGTAATGGTTGAGCCGCCCCTGGTGGTGAGATGTATTCCACACTGAGCACACGTATTCAGCAGCAGAGTAGCAAAGCGCAAGGGCAGATGTCTTCACTGTGTCTGGTTGTGATCCCCAAGTTGTGTCTGTCTGCTTTGGTATGATATTATTTCTAGCACCCACGTTTTGCTTGATAGATTAAACATAGATGAAACTCTCCCTTCTGGAAGTGGCTGATCACTTGTGTAAATGTTAAATATTGATGGAGCAAGAACGCTTCCCTGAAGCAAGCCCTTCTTCTGTTTCCGCCACCTGCTTCTCTGGCCCTGGAACTCGACAAAAAAGCTCCTGTTTTGTAGCAGATATCCGATGAAGTGGGGAGAGCTGGTAATCCTTTGTGATATTATACTTTTTTCCCGTCCATCTGATGATCCGTATACTTTCTCATTTCCAGTGCTAGCCCTCAGCCTTTACAGTGGTGAACCCATGTTGGGTTTTACTCTGACATTGAAAGGAGACAAACAGGAAGGAAGGAAGGAAGGAAGGAAGGAAGGAAGGAAGGAAGGAAGGAAGGAAGGAAGGAAGGAAGGAAGGAAGGAAGGGGAGGGGAGGGGAGGGGAGGAGAGGGAATGAGAGATGTGTGAGGGAAAGCAAGGGAAGAAAGTAAAAAAAGAAAGCAAAGAGAGGGGGGAAGGTGTATAAGGGAAATAGAGGAAGGAAGGAAGGGAGGGAGGGAGCAAAGAGAGAGGGAGAAGGAATATGAGGAAAATGGAGGAAGGCCCTAAAGAGAGCCTGCCCACCTTTGCCAGTGTTGTGAGGAAGGCCTTTTCAGAGCTGGAGAAGGGAGAAAGCAGTTGGGCAACGAAACCTGGGCAATAAAACCTGGGCAATGCCAGGTATGTACACTAGTTAAAAAGAAAAGGTGAATAGTGGGATGAAATTAATGGAAAGGATGTGTTATATTGGTTTGCAGGTTGCACGAGGAACCTAGGAGGCATGGGTTCGAATCTCTACTTAGCCATAGAAACCCACTGGCTGACTTTGGGCAACTCTCTCTCAGCCTTAGAGGAAGGCAATGGTGACAATCCACCTATGAAAAACTCTTGTCAAAGTCAGAAATACAATAATAATAATTATTATTATTATAACCACATGGGGCCACAGTGGCGCAATGGGTTAAACTCTTGTGCTGCTGAACTGCTGACCTAAAGGTTGGCAGTTTGAATCTGCAAGATGGGCTGAGCTCCCACCTGTCAGTTCCAGCTCCCGCCAACCTAGCAGTTCGAAAACATGCAAATGTGAGTAGATAAATAGGTACCGCCTCGGCGGGAAAAGGCAAAGAGACGCTCCACACAATCTTGCTAGCCGCACAGCCAGGAGGTGACAATGCAGGCTCCTCAGCCTGAAAATGAAGAAAGCACCTCCCCCGTAGCCAGAGATGAGCACCACCTCCAGAAGTCAGAAATGAAAGGAGAAGCCTCTGCCTTTGTTTGTGTTTGTGTGTCTCATTGTATATGATTGTAAAGGCATTTAATGTTCGCTTATGTATGTAAATGCTGTAATCCACTCTCAGTCCCCTAGGAGAAAAGGGTGGGATATAAATAAAGTGTGTTGTTGTTGTTGTTGTTGTTATTATTATTATTATCAAAAAGGGGTGAATGAAGATGTTGCATTTGTATATTTTTTTCCAGAACATTCCACCTTTGTGTTTAATTTCCTTCTCTCTCTCTCTCTCTCTTCTTTTCTCTCCGATCCAGACGACTCCCTCTACGAATCTCCTGAACCAATATTCACCAGCAATAATTCCTGTTGTAGCTTCACCGTCCCAGATGCCTTCTTCGTGGTGGCTCCCGTCTTTTGGACGATTCTCACCTCCTAGCCCCAGCTCGGAGAGGATGGGAAGGAAAAACCCAAGTCTCTTTTTTGGCAGGCCCCTGGGGCAGAAGCATCCACGACGACGATAAGAAAATATTTGGGAACACAAACATGAGCGAGAGAGTGAAACAGAATGTCAGCGGGGAGAAGACAGTGTTTCCCAATGGATCGGCTACAAGGGGAAACAACTTTATCCAGTTTTCTGGGTTGGGGGGAAAAGGGGGTTTAGTTACAGTTAATTTTGGGGGAACAGAAAGGGGGAATGCAATCGGGTGGATTCCTGTTTCTTTCCCAACTTCTGTTTTCGGCGAGAAATTACGAAGTTGCCAATATGGTTCCCCGAAATATCTGGGCAAGAGAGAGAAAAAGAGGATTTTTTAAAAAAATGTGTCCAGGGAGCTGAGCTGGTTCCATGCCTCCCAAACTTTCAATGGACCCATTTCGACTTTGGATGTGATCCATTCCCCCCTCTTTGCTCTTTAGTCCTTACCTTGACAGTAAGTTTTTACTTTTTGAACGAATTCTAGACCAAATATAGTTCTCCTTTTTTTCCCTCTGTGGTTTCCCCTGCCGTCCCAATCTCTCTCTCTTTTTTGTGTGTGTCCTATATTCTGTATTTCTTTCCTGCAATCGGGACACCACCCTGAGGAGGACAAAAGGAAAAGGGGGGAGATTCTCTCCAACATGGTGCTTAATTTGGAATCCCTTCTTCTCTGTGTGCGCGTCTTTCCTTTCCGTGGGGCTACTTTGAATAATAACTCTTTTGGGTTGTGACCAACTTAACATTTCCCAGTGAGTGAAACCAACCGTCGGTCAGATCAGCAAGGCGCACACTTCGGAAAAGCCTTGCTGAGGACTACAAGACTGGTCCAGTTTGGTAGGTTGGTCCAGCAAAAGTGATCAATGAACGTATCAATGTATTGGGAATGTTTCGTCCATTTCGAAGAAGGGAACTGGCAAACCATTCGCTGTTTCAAAAGGAAGGACTTTTGGACCGTAACGAAACAGCTGGACAGCTACAGTTTCCTCAGCCCTCGGACTGAGAGATGGAATCCTTCTGAACTTATTCTTTTCCTAAAGAGTTGGGGATGGGGAGGGGGGGGAGGGAGAATCAAGCACAATACAATCACGGCATTGGACAGGGCAAGGTGGGCAACCACCCAATGGGAGCGCACAATGTGTTCTGCGGCCAACAAGCCCTCGGCTTCCCAAAGTTTTCCTCCTCCAGGTTGGACGGCACACATTTCTGGTGTAAACAGAGATTCCCGTTTGGTTTTAGATGAGCTCTGCATTGGTTCAGGGGACGATTTGGGGATTTGGGGTTGCCCCTGCTTGTTCTTGCCTGGCTCTATCACTGCCAGCCCCTCTGGGCCCACACGTTTTTACTTCAGCATATCTTTGGCCCCAAGGCAACAAGGCACTCGCAACAAGGAGACGGAGGGGATTTGGCTTCGGAGGAGCAAGTTCGATGGGGACCCTCGTAATAATTCCTGGAATCAATTGGCAATTTGAGATACAGTCCTTGACTTGACCCCTCTGGGCCCAACTTAAGGGCCAGCAGCAAAGGGAGCCCATTCAATGTCAGATCAGTTCACAAGAAGGATGGCATTTATAATACCCTCTGGGCCTTGATCAAAAGCTTCCTGTCCCCATGACAATCATGTCTCCAATACGGAGATACAATAGAGTCTTGCTTATCCAACAAAAACGGGCCGGCAGAACGTTGGATAAGCGAAAATGTGGGATAATGAGGAGGGATTAAGGAAAAGCCTATTAAATGTCAAATTACATTACGATTTTACAAATTAAGCACTAAAATATCATGTTTTACAAGAAATCGATAGAAATAGCAATTCAGTACACTGCAACGTTACGTAGTAATTACTGTATTTACAAATTTAGCACCAAAACATCGCAATGTATTGAAACAGCTGTGGATCTGGGCAGGAGGCACACTGTGTTGGATAATACAGAATGTTGGATGAGTGAAGGTTGGATAAGCGAGACTCTACTGTAATTCAAACCCAGAGCCAGTGGAAAGGTAGGCGGATGGGAGACACCTGGAGCCCAGTTATAGCTCTTTGATGATACTTCAGCTGTGGAATCTGGGAGTTGTACCTTGTGGGGTCTCGAGAGTTCTCTGGCAGAGAATTCTAAATAGTCCCCCCCCCCCCAACTGCAAATCCCGAGATGGCATCAAGGCAATCAAAATAGAAGCGTGATGCTGCAATTATGTAGTCTGGTCATTCCCAAACTTCGGTCTCCCAAGTGTTTTGGACTTCCACTATCAGCTTAGCCAAGGGTATGGCATTTTGCAGCCTGAAGTCCAAAACAAATTTGGGGAACCACTAATAATAATAACAATAACAACATCTTTTCACAGATATATATCCCACTTGCCTAGTTTCCAACAGACCTCACAACCTCTGAAGATGCCTGCCATCGATGTGGTTGAAAGGCTGGAAAGAGTCTTCCTCCAGCCTCGCATACTCTCTCTCGCCCGCACACATCCACCACGTTGCCATGCACCAAGCACGCCTGCTCTCCCCTCCCCGCTTGGAGTCTCGAGAGGCCAGCCAATCACAGTGGAGGAGGGCTTTTGGTGGGAGGATTTGCCGTCTGTTACCAAAAAGGAAGAGAAGGACAGACGGAGAGATCTTTAGCCTTCTTTGTCAAAGCGGTTCCTAAAAGTCCATCAGAAATATATGCTTTCTGATGGTCTTTGGTGACCCCTCTGAAACCCCCTCGTGACCCCCCAAGGGTCCCAACCCCCAGATTGAGAAACGCTGACGTAAAGATTGCCTTGAAATACTTTTGGCTACCAGCGAGGCTGGCATTGCCATCTCGGTGGTCCAAAAGAGCAGGGTTTCTAGAACATAGGGGATGTGAGAAGGCAACCTTTGGCGCCGCATCCACATCCCCCACGCGCTCCTCAGCCGTACCAAAGGGCATTCCAGCTTTTCAGGGAAATTTCACAAGACTCTTCTCCCCAAAACCCACCCCTTTCCAAACTCGCCTCCCCAAACAATCTTCCGATGCTGTCCGCAGATCACGAGGGACCCGCAAAAAAAAAAAAAAAAAAAGAGGCAAAAATCAAAAGCCCCACCGCAACGCACAACCCTCGCTTGGGACTCGCTCTGAATCGTTTGTTAGATTTCTGTACATAGTGCCAGCAGGCATCATACTGTGACTATGAATCATTATGGATTATTATTATTATTATTATTTGTAATGGATTTGCCGGGGGGAAAACACGAATGGTTTTGATGGACAGGTTTTATTATTTTAAGTGTTAATTTCCTTTGGGTGGGTGGGCGGGAGGGCTTTTGATTTATTTTTATTTTTTTTAATGAAAAAACCTACATGCTCTTTTTCTCTGTGTCTTTCTTCTCTCCCTCCCTCCCTCTCTTCCTCTGTCTCTTTTGAGGAAAAAAAACCACCCTGCAATAATCTCTCAATGATCAAAAAATGTTTTTCAAATGACCCTTCTGTCTCTCTCTTCCCTTCTTCTTCATTTCATCCTTTGTATATAGACCGGGGAGCATTTCTTACAAGCGGATGCAGGCACACACGCGCATTGGTTGTTAGAGCATCCTGATTTGCATCCACCTTGCCAGCTCACCCGTCCCTTGCGCATTCGAATGCACACACACACACACACAAAAAGACCAGATTTTTGGAGGCAGGAGTACAACCATAGACTTCATTTCATTCACACGAATGATGCTACGTTTTTTAGGCAAGGAAAGGAAACTGGAAGGACAGGCTTCTTGCGATTGAGAACTTCTAAGCATTGGAATTGCCTTGGGACACCTATGTTGATATAATCATGGAAGGCATTGCATAAGGAGGTACGCCCAATGAAATACCCACTCAATGCCTTTCCCAGTGCTCTCATGGTGTTGCACTCCAAGTCTGGAAGCACCTATGACCGCTATTGTACTCCAGAACAGGAACACCTCTGACTTGAAACACCACACTAGCTTGATAAAATCAGCAAGCAGTTTATTGTAGAATATATGTAGCCAAAGCAGTAAAAAGCAGGTCAATTAGTACATAGAAATCCATGAAGCAAGGCACTTGAAAACATGGAACAAAACAGCAGGAACTTTCAGGCCAAAACTTAGACTTGGCAACAACTTGATACATGAAACATAGAGCACGTGAAAACAAAACTGGCATGAATTAAAGACGTTGACTCAACTGAGACAATAGTCTCCCATGAATCATAAACCCTTGCTGGAACTGACAGGAAAACATTCTTTTCACTTTCACACTAGATAACGGTTGGTTATCTTTCTTTTGTTGTAGATGAGCAGAACGCCTGAGATTCTGAAAGTTCAGCCTCTGTTTACTAAAACTTTGTTTTGTGTCCAAGGTTTCACTATCATCTCCTTCTGCACCTGGCAAAGTAATATCATCATCATTTTCAGGCTTTTTTTTTTTTTTTGGTCGTGTCAGGAGTGACTTGAGAAATTGCAAGTCACTTCTAGTGTGAGAGAATTGGCCGTCTGCAAGGACGTTGCCCAGGGGATGCCCGGATGATTTTGATGTTTTTATCATCCTTGTGGGAGGCTTCTCTCATGTCCCCGCTTGGGGAGCTGGAGCTGACAGAGGGAGCTCATCTGCCTCTCCCCGGATTTGAACCTGCGACCTTCAGTCCTGTCGGCACAGGGGTTTAACCCGCTGCACCACCGGGGGCTCATTTTCAGGCTGCTGAAAGGTCTTTCCCAGGAATGTGACCTTGCTCGGGCACCTCTTCTGAACTTAACTCCGGCCCGGGCAAACTCGCATCCTCAAGCCCATCATCAGGAGCATCATTCCCACTCCCATTCCCATTATGTACATCAACATCATTCCTAACATGAACATCATCATGAGCATCAGACACAATCACAGGCTGAACAGGCTGACATACAACGACCACCACACCACACAAGAGTCCAGGAATATAAGCAAACAGTTTATTGCAAAAAACCATAAAAAGCATATTTTTAAAAAAGGAATAAGAAAGGAAGATATATAATCCAAAAAGGTTTAGCAACTAGTGATAACCAAACAATAATCTGAATGGCTCATAAGGTTCCAAAGTCCAGGAACAGCCAGAAATCACAGGTACAGCTTCAGTCCACAAGCAAGGTGTAACTCATAAAAACATGAACAGGAACATAGAAAACTTCCAGGATATTAAAATCCAATACCAAGGCTTGACTTGAATCAGGAACAAGAGAATTCAGGCTTAGCTTCTCACTGTAACGCAGAGTTGCCTGAACTGCCCTTAAAGTAAACAACTTGTTTAATAGACACCCATAAAAGCATTATGTCTCCCATGAATTTTCTCCCCAACTTTCCCACGTAATCTTTCCAACCAACGCAATTTATTTTCAGTTCTGATTTGTAAATGAAGACGTTCGTTGCTCTCCAAAGCTACAGGTGGTTTCTCCTGGGAACCCTCCTTATCACTCAGCTCTTCACTCAATTCCTTATCTGCTGTTGGTACTTCTGGCTTCTCTGACTGGCTTTGAAGCCCTGCACTTTCCAAGCCAGTTTTTTCACAGAACCAGCATTTGCCAGACCTGAATTTCCCAGACTTGAGGACTCATCACTTTGTGCCACAGGAAAGCCCAAAATCCTGTCTAAATTATCAGTTAACCCATCAGCCTCTGGCTGATCTACAACACATTGGATGGTCCTTCTGGCCAATGAGTTTGGGTTGAGCAAATGTATTTTCTTGAGCTGGGAGCTATTATTGTGTAGCAGTGGTTTGAGTGATGGACTGCAACTCAAGAGACCCAGGTTTGAATCCCCACTCAGCAATAGAAACCCACTGGGACAAGTCACATTTTTAGCCTCAGAAAATCCAATGAATCGTGAGAAACACTTTTTTTCTTGGGCAACACACAAACAGACATTCAGTGCCTCTTTCCACAATGCCTTTCCCTAGCTGTGTGTTCCTGCCTGGCAGAAAGGGATAGGACTAGATGGCCCTTAGGGTCCCTTCTAACTTAATGGCTCTACAGATGCATCGTGCCGGCTTTATTACTTCCTTGAGAATTGCGTAAGGAGGCATGAAACACCCCCTTCCACAATGCCTTTTGCCAGAGATGCCTTTTGCAATAGGGAGGGTGCAGTGACATTTGTACTTTCTTGCGCAAGGAGGTATTCGGAAATACCTCTTTACGCAGTCCCTTGATCTAAATTCACCTCTTAGTGGCTGTGCGGTTGAGTTCATCTGCTTTTCAACCTGACCTGACCTTGTATGACCTAAAATTTTCAGCGTAGCAACAGAAGAAGGCTGAGCATAGAGGGATAACATGAAAGGAGTGGAAACCAGGACACTTTAAAAACAGCTGAAAAACTAGAAAGGCATTTTTAGGACCAAACTCCTTTGATGGACATATGGAGACAAAACTGGAGACTTGTGGGACACTGAAAGGGGAGTGGCCGGAAAAAAATAAGACCCTACAATTAAAATAAAGCTACTAAAGAGTTTGTTCTTCTCCTCCAAATCTAGCCATTTCTTTCCTTTCTTCCTCATTCCTCTTTTCTGCCCTCTGATTTTTTAACTTGCAAGGAGCAAAAGCAGAGGACGAACAATGCTATTTCATCACTGGGATTTTTTTTAATTATTATTATTTTAGGAACTGTGTTTGCATTCGCTGGTTCGCTCGGTCTCATTGGCAATTCTTCACCCCAGACATTGTGCTGATGGTAAAAGTCCATTTCCCCGCCTCCCTTCCTGTCCCCAAAACCTCACACAAACTTATTTGGAGTCTGTATTTTTTGATAATAAAAATGTTAAAATTATTGGTTCCTTCTCAGGCTGGTTTCTTTAGCAGTAACTTTTCTTCAGACCTCAAGTAGATTGATTACCGTGGTTCACGTAATCCCATTGAGGAATCATTTATCTTAAATTAGACATCCCCTGCCACGCGTTGCTGTGGCCCATTCTGGTGGTCATGGGGGTTCTGTGGGAG